TTAATAACAGTTATGAGATCATATAATTGTGAATGTATATATGAAATTGATAAAATAAAAAATTGTAATTAAAAAGAAGAAGAAGAATTGGAACAGCTGGAAAGAGGAAACCAAATGTTCTGCTCTAGTGAGTATATTTCCATATAATTGGTTTTACTACAATAAGTCTTTGTGAACAGAATATACAAATGAAGATACAATTTCCATCTCTTTGGTGCTCAATTCTTCCAAAAAGAAAATAACCACTGAATATTCATAATAAAACTGGGTTCTTCAAAAGGACTCCAAAATGAACTGAAATGTATAACCCTGTCATAGTACTCTAACTCTGATGTTCCATTATCTTCTTGTTTTACACAGGAGGGTCACAGGATATTTTTTTACATCAGGATTTCAAAGAGGATTTATGAACTTATTTTATATGTAAATAGGAAATATAGTGGAAATGCATCAAGAGAATGAAAATGTATTCACACTCCATGTTGCGGTCCATTTTACCACAAAATGTGGATTGCTTTTGTGCTATTGATAAGAATTTACTTTAGGTTTTAAAAAATCCATTACTAAGTGTGAGAAATTGTGCAGTATAAGCAACCAAAGGGGATGCTTTCTTGAACCTGCAGAATTTGCAGAACATAAGCAATACTGTAAGCCACATAAGGTGGCTTTAATTTAGCCAATAAAAACCAATATTAGCCAATAGTTTCACTATTTAGAATTTCACTTGTATAAATACAACTTTTAAAAATTGTTCTAAATGTCAGTGTTTTTTTCTTGCAACACATTAAGGAATGTTGGCATTGCCAATCTAGTATCAATATAGAATCCCAGTGTTTTCTCTTGTTTTTCCAAACATCTGACATAGTTCCTTGAAAATTTGGAGCCAAGATAATGATTAGGAAGTGATTACTGATTATATCATTTATGGTCAAGTGATATCAGGGATCTTTTGACACATTCTGTTGCTAAGGGTATATTTAAAAATATGCACACAAAATATCTTTTATTGGCCATCATGATTTCTAGTTAAATCCCACCTGCTTGATATGATTTATTCTGTCTCAACCAAGTTAACAACATTCAACATGCTTCACTGATTTTTATTGTATTGCCATCATAATGACAATCATTGATCTGGGTCTTTCAAAATGCAGAGTTTGAAAAAGTTTATAATCCTTTTCCCAATCCAGTCACCATAATAGCATGCTATCAGTCAACCCAATACAGTACAATTAAAAACCTGTAATGCAAAATAAAACGCATGCAATGGGTATAGCAAGAATCATATACAGTATGTCCATAATTATTCTTACATTAATGAAAAGAGTTGGGGATTAATTCTATTTTTACACATAAGTTTTTGTTAAATTATATAGGTTTGATATAAGGAAACATTATGACCTAATTATATCTACTGTATGTTCTTGTTATATTTTGTGCTGAATCTAAAGAATAACAGACAACATAGATAAACTAAACAGATTCACTTGGTTGAGTTGGGCAGCTAGAGAAATTGAATAAATAAATAAATCTTCCTTAACTTTGAAATGCAGCCTATTCCTATCACACATTGGGCATTTCCAGAGACTGCTACTTCCCTTCCCTTCCCTTCTAGATTCAGATAAATCAAGTTGTAATCACCCATAACATTGTTTCATTCAAGTATTTTTGGGGAAAGTTTGTGATGTATAAAAAGGTAAAGGTTCCCCTCACACATATCTGCTAGTCGTTCCCTACTCTAGGGGGCAGTGCTCATCTCTGTTTCAAAGCCGAAGAGCCAGCGCTGTCCAAAGACATCTCCTCTATTTTTCTACTTGCATTTTTATGTGCTTTCGAACTGCTAGGTTGGCAGAAGCTGGGACAAGTAACAGGAGCTCACTCTGTTACATGGCACTAG